GATGTAGACTGCTGGGTTAAAAGAAGCATTTAAAACTTTTTATTGATACAGCCAGATTACATTCTAAAAAAGATTGGAACAACCCACATTACCACTAACAATGTACACAATGTTTCATTTACCTTAATTCTTGTCAGCAGTGGAGGTCACTGCTTTTTGAAATTTTGCCATCTGATAGGTATTTTATTGCTTTGAATTACATCTCACTGACCGTGTGTACACTTGATCCTCTTTCATATGCTTATTGCAATGCAGAACATCTTAATGGTTCAAAGCAGACTCTGGAGTCACACCAGCTGAATTTGAGTCATAGCTCAAGATGTGTGACCCCCTATTACATGACGTGGGCAAGTTACTTTCTCTGAGCCTGTTTCCTTACCTGTAAAATTGGGATATTACCTTTCTCAGAGGGTAAGTTGTGAGGATTAAATGAGATAAAACTTATAAAGTACCTGAAACAATGTCTAGTACGTAGCAAACAAGTGAATGATTAGTGGCTAATACTGCTGCTCTTTTAGATTTCTCCTGAGTTACCTATTGGGTGTTCTCTATCAGGGTGGTTGTTTTGGAGTGATCAATTTGTAGGAACTCTTTGTATATTAGGAACATTAATCCTCAATCTGTCACTTGAGTTAGAAAAAATGTCCCCAGTCTATCATGTGTCTCTTATGGAACCGACTTCTGTTTTCCCAAATTTTCTGTTTATATAGTCAAATATGTCTATAATTTCCTTTAGGGTACATAGGCTTCTTGTTTTGCTTATGATCTCCCATCACGATTATAAAAAGTCTCCTAAAAATCTTCAAATATTTCATTTTAACATTTTAAATTTGTAGTTCTTCTGTTATTTGAGTGTGTGTGTGTGTGTGTGTGTGTGTGTGACCTTACTGTAGCTCCATTTATATAATTATATAGTTACACATATCAGATTTAATTTAGAAACTTCATGGAAAGAAATTTGGAAGAAAATACAAATTACAGTATTCATAGTAACAGGTAATAACGGGGTAGTTCTGAGCATCAATGGGTTTGGATTTTTCATAATTGATTTGAGAGTGAAGGAGGGAGGGAAGGGAAGAGAGAGACAGAGAGAGAACATAGATTTTGTTTTCCTACTTAAGCATTCTTTGGTTGATTCTTGTATGCGCACTGAGCGGGGATTGAACCGGCGACCTTGGCGTATTGGGATGATGTTCTAACCAACTAAGTTACCTGGCCAGGGCCCGGGCTTCAATTTTTTAAAATGGAAACTTCTTTTTAAAACTGTGAAATTCTTTTTTCCAAATGAAATATTACAGAAAACTCCAATATACAAAACTGAGTTATTATGTTTAAAGTGGTGAAAGATGGGGGCTTGAGGAGGAAGATAACAAAGAGCCCTGTAAACAAATTTCGGAATAAAAATTTAGATTATATTCTGAAATGACGGGGGAACTACTAAAAGATCTTAGGCAGGGGAGTGACACAATTAGATCTGTGTATCGAAGACTACGCTGCTCTGCAAAGAACAGTAAGACAACAGTAGAGCCAGTGAAACCACTAGAGGGGCATCACAATAGTCCTAGCAAGACACTGTTCTCTTGGACAAGGGTGATAAACGTGAAGAAGTATGTCTACATGATACACCAAGAAAATTTAGTGATTATTAGGAATGCCTGGGGTGAGAGAGTAGAAAGGGGAGCATCAAGAATAATGGCAATGTCCTGGTTTGAGAAACAGTGAAGGGTGGTGTCACTTCTCAAGAAGAGGGAACACTGGAAGCAGAGCAGATTTTGAGGGGAAAATGATGGGGTCCGTGTGAAGCATTTGTGTTTATCAAATGGGCGGGTAGCCAGTGAAAGGTGGACATTCAGATCTGAAACTCAGAAAATCTATTTGGGCTGAAGATAGGAATCTGGGCGTTATCAACATACAGTTGGAAACTAAAGCCATGGGAATGAAGTTTTGAGTCTATGAGGCAAGAAGGCCAAAGGCATAGAAGACTGATTCCGTTGGGGCTGACCGTAAGCAACAAAAATCAACCCTTGCCACACGATCTGTGTATGTATGGGGATACCCTCTGCAGCCATATGTAGAAGCCAGCTCAGCCATTGTAATTTATTGGAAGACTATGAGGCAGTTCATAAAAATTAGAGAAGCTTAACCAGGAACCTGGGCAACTGAAGAAATCTCAGTAACAAGAACTCCTATGCCTCTTACATATTATCTTCTGGTAGCATCGGAGAGGGGTAACTTCCCAAAGGAAGGTGAGGCGCTATTCTCAAAGGAGGTGGGGGAAGGATACTAGGTAGGCAAATGCAGCCGTCCATTAGGTTCTATCCCTTGGCTGCCCAGTACATGCATTCTTCATCATGAACAATTTTATAAATGCTTCCATTCAACATCCTGTAGAAAATGGACTCATCTCCCCAAGGGGGATAACTTAATTTCCAGTTATCACACCAAGTGTCAAGTCTAAGATTTCCAGGTGACATTCATTCTCCTCTAGTTTTTAACCTCATCTTGATAATCTACAATTTGTGGTCTTACTGATATATTTAACCATCACCAACACACCCATATACATGTGAGGCGGACACTGCCAGCAGAATGACTCAGGTCCAATAGAGGGGAAATCTGATTGGTCTAACTTGGATCATGCTCGAATTTCAGCCAGATGTGAGGGGCAAAGTACTGAGATGGAGAAAGAGGAGAGTGGGATAAAAAGACCAGGCAAAGCTAAGATAGATGGCTACAGGCTATTGATTTTATTTCTGCAATAAATTATAGGGCTGTAGTTGGTACTTACTGCCTCTTTCATTATAAGCTCTATATTTTTTTCTTCAGTTAAAGTGGTTTTTCTTTTATTTTACCAATTGGAAGACCCAAACTTTCATTCCTGAGATATACAGGGGTTGGGATTTTCCAAGTCTTTTGATTCCTCCCAGATATCAAAACTCTGCAAGTCTCTTTTCCGGTTAATGCCTTAATTCTCACAAAAGAGATCTTAGTAAAGTTGCAAATCCAATCAGCATTGTGATTTTGCAATTTGTGGAATCAATCTCCAAGTTGTAGTTTTGGAATTAAGCAGAGATTCATTCATCGTGGACACAGAAGGGCCTTGGCTTTTATTCGAAGCCTACAGGTAAATTTCTGGGTTTGAGCTTGTCATTACCCAATGTAATCCAAGTAGCTAACCATCCTAACTCAATGGTCGTGGCCTTCCTTATCAACTTCCAATTGTCTTACTGTCAACAGCTACCTAGTTATCCAAACACTGCCTGCAACAGGCATATGATTCCAAATGACAAGGGGAAGTATCTTTACTTGCTGTTTTTTCACTATAAATTGCTCACCACTTCCTCCTCCATCTAGGGATACAGAACAAGAGCTACTGCCTTTAATTCAGTCTCAGTGCAATAATCAATTCCAGGTCCTTCATGTTCCTGAGGTTCTGAAGCCTACTATTTAATGGTTATCAATTTCCATAATAATTATTTGGTTGCAAGCAATAGCAACCCTCTTTGGCTTACAAATAAAAAGGAAACACGCTATGAAGAGGATATATGGTACTCTACACAAAGGAAAATCTGGATAACCAGGCTTCGACAATAGGAATCGGCACCTGTGGGGAGTCTTTGCATGAACCCCAATATGCTCTCCTGGGGACACTACTATCAGAATGACTCAGGTCCTATCATTTTGTTTGTCACTTCTCTTAAGACTCAAAGTCCTGGTGGGAGGGGAATTTTGATTGGACAAGTTTGGGGCACAGGATCTAACCTCAGCCAGGGGTACAAGGCCAGAAAACTGTAATTTATAGCTCCATTAACACCACAGAATGGGAAGGAGTAGCAGTCCAGAGGAAAAGTGTGGATCTATCTCTAAAAGAAAGGGAAAATGATTTGGGGGAGGCCAAAAAAAAAGTCTACTAATAATACTATTTAAATGATGGGGAGAAGAACCTACAGTGGATTAATTGCCAGGAAGAAAATGGAGAGTCTTCACACCTAAAGGCAGTATGTCAAGATGCTGGGGGAAATTGTGCTGCTGAAAGTTCAGATATGATGCATATACAACAGACTTAGCAATAAAAAGGTTATTAACCTTGATTGCAATGAGATCAGAATAATCAGATTTCAAAAGAAAATGGGACTTTTCCCTCTCTCTGTTTAGTGTGAAAACTGTGATAGAGGTCTTCATAGATTAACATCAGTTGAGAACTAAAACAATCTTTTGATGACTGAAACGATGAAGTTCTGATATTCTGAATACACTTGGATATTTAAAGAGATGCGCTTGAAAAATTAAGGAACAATTACTGAGCTCAGTTTCTCAAACAAGTAAAGATGCAGCAATCTGTCAGTGTGAGTAACGGATGATGAATATGTTTATCAAAATACGAAGATAGAGGGTTATTTTAAATTATTTGATGAAACAGGCTCAGTGTAAGTAACTTGCCAAGGTCAAACAGTAAGCACTAAGCTTAATTTTTAAAATGCTTTACTTTTAAATAAAGTTTACAAGTAACCAGAGTAGTGAAAAATATTCAAATATAGAAATGTATCAAGTTTAAAGTCTCATGTAATCTACACTGTTCAAAGAAAGCCATTAATAGACTTTTCTATGTATTATAAACAAAGACAAATTTTAAAATAAGTTCATACGTTTTTCTACCAATAGTTTGTTTCACTTAATATAACATGGCCATTTTTCCATGTCCATACACAATAAGTGTACCTTGCTCATTTTAATCCACATGTAAATTTTCTTAATATGGTTAAATCATGTTATTTAAGCAATCCCTTACTGATAACAATTAGGTTTTCTCCTATATTTTTCTATCATGTAATTTTTTGCTTCTGTCTTAAGCACTGTCAGTTCCTTTTTCACTGACTTCCAGTTTGTAAAGTAACTTCACTGTAACCATGACCAATAGTTTAATACTTGGATGTGTCATTTCAATATTGGTAGGAAGACTATTTGGACTCAATTTCAAGCAACAGAAACCGAACTCAAAGTAACTTAAACAAAAGGGTATTTATTGGTTCACAAAACTGAAAAATCCAGAGGATATACTCGCTTCAGGCACGGATGGATCTAGGAGCACATTGTCATCAGGACTCAAGTCTCTCCATCATTTGGCTCCGCTTTCCTCTGCACTGGCTTCATTCTCTGACTGGCTCATTTTATATGGTGGACCCTGCTGGTTTGAGCTTGTTCATCCTACAAAGGTAAGCAACCTCAGTAAATACAGAGTTTCTGAGCTTTTTCTCTTCCACTGTTCAGTAAACTCCTAGGGTTGAGTATCACTGGATCAACTTGAATCACATGACCATTCCTGAATCCAATCAATCACTATGATCAAGGAGATGAACTATGCCGATTGATCAGGTCTGAACTTCACGTCCACACATGAACCCTAAGGTTAGGTCAGACTGTCTGGACTATGTGGACTGAAAATAGGGAGATATGGTTCCAAGAAGCATCAGGGAGTTGTTAGGAAGAGATGGAATAAATGCTGGCCAATTAAAAATAACTGATATCAATGATAACGCTGGATATTGAAAAAGCTTAATCTCTGCTCATAAAGTTGAATTGTAACAGCTGGCATTATTCTTTCTTGATAAAAGTATTCTGAAAAACACACACATCATGAGTATGTCCTGTCGTCAAGAAGCTTATAATCCATTTGTATGGAATAATCATGTCCAGTAACATACTCTGGATGATACCATAGTTTCAATATAAGTATTAAGAGTCCGAGAGCTCAATTATCTAGTTGACATAATGCAAGACGACTAGTCTCCCAATGGAAAGTAGTTCTGTGAGGCTATTCAAGTCAGTGGTAAATTTGAAATTCCTGGAAATCTTTTGTGTTCAAGTCTTTCGCCAAGTTGAACATTTCTCATTTCTGTGCTGTTGATGCTGTTGATTCAGACTCAACTTCTGTATTACTGCAGGACAGAAATTGACAGTGCTTTTTATCTGCTACACTCCTTCAGATCTGGTAGGAGGATCTCCAGGTGCTGAAAATGATCAAATATATATAGGCTGAGGCTTACTCTGCACTTAAAAAAAAAGCACTGATGCTGGTCAAAAAGTATACAGCACGGTCCTTCCTGTGGAGAATATGGAGTGAGGTGCAGGCTGCTTCAGTTCAAAACTCCTTGGTGGAATTAGGTATAAGATAGGCTGAGATCAGTTGTAGTCTGTTCCAGGACAGCAAGTTTGATTGCAGCAACGTGTCAAAAAGGCAGGCAAGGGCTGAGTCAGATAAATAGGTAAGTAGGGTACCTTCAGCAGGGCCAGCTATAGCAATGACAAGGGTATAAGGAAGAACATGTAGTTTAATATTGAAGTTCTGTAAATTAGTTTTTACCTGGATTACTCCAGGCTTAATCCATAGTGTTTATTCTGGATACACTTTTCAGATCTTAAATAGCCAGTCGGGTACAGCAGCTTTCACCTTCCTGCTCATTTGCCCAATAAGAATTTTCAGCTCAGAAGGCTATATTCTCAGTCCAGACGTGAGGTTGTTTAGGTGTCTGTTCCTACACCTGGGAATAATAGGGTTCAAGATTGGCACTACTTTCTTTGGTAATCAAAATCTCCATCTTCTATAATTCAGCACATCTCTGGGAATCAAACACAAGTCAAGGCCTCAAACTGGTTGAATGGTGCTGCTGGACTTAGATGAGATCTGAGGCATGGAGATAGTAGGTAAGAGCTTAGGTTTGAATTTTAGTTTTTGCTTTTTCAAACATCAATTCTTATACACAGTGTTCATTAGACTCTTGAAAGACGATCATCCTCACCTTAAGCCCCTCATTTTACTGAGTCTGACAGGAATAACAGGAATGACTGGCAGTGTAGATCAATGTCTTTTCCTGTACAGAAGAAAAATCTAGCTATTTGGAAGGTAGTAAAAAAAGTTGAGTTTGCAGATTTCTTCTTTACAAATAATAGTTGTATATACAAGCAGGATGGTCATTATTTTATCTTTATTTGTTGACGGTAAGCAGTCTAGAGTAACCAGGCTTAGGCCTAGATTGATGATTTGAAGACTAAGTCATGTTCTCATAATTAGTCTAGTGGATAAGAGACATATAAAGAAACCATTCCCAACATTTAACCAGTGCATTCGTTAAAGTAGTTGAGGACATCTGGCCCTTAAGTCAACTGTGAAGTAAATAAGATTTCAAAGTCTACTTGTTTAACATGATTTGGTCTGGAAGTTCACAAACTGAATCCTTCCTGCAGAAACAGGTAAGTTGTCTCAATGCCTGAGGAATGAAGGTGGCCACTCTGAATCAGTGTTAAAACAGTAGACAGGTAAAATTCTATGAACATATCCACAAGGACAAGGGACTGTGGTCTTGTGACATTAGGAAGCACAACAGGAAGCTTGAGTTTACTGACAAAATCCTTAGCTGAAGGATTTGTAGATTTTCTTTCAAGTCAGTCTACATTTCCAGCAAAAAGATTATACACAATTTGAGATTCTCAGCAAGTGCCTACCTCAAAATATCCCTAATATCTACAGTTGATGGTACTAGACATCAAGACCCATCTTAAAGGAAAAACATTCACTGGCTAGAAGAAAACTTCCCAAATGGCCACATTTTAAATCACATCAGAAAAGATGTTCAAAGATGGTCTCCTGTGGATCAGGTCTTACATGTAGTTAGAGCAGAGTATTCATAATTTTAGAGCAGAATATGCCAAGCAGATATGCCGATGGTGGAGGAATTATTTTAGCTTATTAAATGTTATTAGCTCATTTAACCTGGAAACAGCAGTTAAAAGTAAATAAAAACCAAGCAGTAGTATTACTGCCACTGATTGAGTCATAGTGACTTGTAGTTTGAGAATAAGATGAATGATAAAACCAGGTACCCTTTTAGTTAACGTTGCCAGAATTTGAATTCTGCTTTCATAGTTAATGGTTATCCCTTGCACATGAAGTAGAGTACCATGGTTGATGATGGGAGGTCCGATGAACAAGTTGGTCTACTATGGCCTCAATGAGGCATCAGTTTCAATACCTGGCAATTCAGGTATCCAAGGAGGATCAAGACTTCAGATTCACGTATTCAAGTACCACTAGAGCATCTGGTGTTTGTGAAAGAAGTTGGGTAAGGGGGTTTGTTGGTGTAGAGTACATATGATTTACTGTCTATATCCAAACCCAGGAATTACTGTAAGTCCATATGGGGGTAGAGCATGATTAATTTAGGTTCATTTGATACACTTTTGGCCCATATAACTACTTAGGGGCAAAGTTCTTGCACTTTTCTGTGTTTGTCCATAGTAAGTATTCCTAAGAATGTTCAGCACCAACTGAACATGGACTGTGTTGGCTAGAGGTACAGATCAGAATATCATTCAGGTCGAACATATTGTTGTCTAGAGCACTGTTTTTTCAAAATGTGCTCTGAAGAATTCTAGGTGCTGTAAAGAAGTCTCTCCTTAGGTGTCACCATGGCGATAAAGGAAGATGCTTGTGGCAGATTTCAGGACCCCCACTCTGCTTCGTCCAGAGCAACTTCACTTTTACTTTGGGCTTCCACACAGTTTTCGTCCAAAGGGCTTCATGGCCACAAAGCCTTTGGAAAACCAATGATCTAAGAATAAGTTGTTCACAAAATGCTGAAATACAAAAAATAGGTCACAGAAACCAGAAACTGTGTAAGCAAAGTCTTTGGTAAGCCAAGGTGTTTTCCTATTCATTCTTCCCCTAAGGTGGGACACATTATAGAATTATGCAATTTAACATTCAAGTCTGTTATAAATTCTCATTTCCTGAAATTGGGCTTATGACTATCAGAGAACAAGGTCTTAAATGACAACAGCACTGGGGTTTTTGCAGTCAGAATACAGCTGCAAAATGCATTCATTTCTTTGTAAATATTATTCCAAGAAGTCCATGCTAGATGACTTCAAGCACTGATAAGATCTCAGTGGGCCACAACTCAGAAATTCTAAGAAAATATCTCCTCATCCCTCCTCTCCATTTTTTCCACCCACTTCCTCTTTTCCCTTCCCAATCTTCTCACCCATCTGAGATGCAATGACCTTGAACTAGGTTTATAGCACAATTCTAGGGACAGAGAAATACATCACTGTATGTCATAGAATCCATCCAAATTTGGATGAATTAACTTTCCCCCAACCCCCTCCCCAGTATTCCCACAAATCTAGAGGTTTCTTTGACAGAAAATCAAGGTAATGGTCAAGATAAAGAATTCTCAGATGATGGAAACATACTAATTCAAAGCTGTTATTGATAAGAAAAAAGGGATGTGTGTGTCAAAGATGCAGTTTATTCCTGGGTCTCCAGGGCAATCTGTTGGCATTCAAGAAGCACTGGCTATGCCACTCTTAAGCAGTTGCCTCATTCCACTGAAAGGAATGCTGCAAGATGACATTCTGTTTGATTAAACTTAGAACATACCAGACTAAACAGCTAAATGATAGTTGTGTGTTTTTTGCTGCCTTATGATATCCTTTAATATACTACACTGCATTATCAATTAGAGAGGGGACACATTTTATAGTATTTTTACCACCTTACTGGGCTATGAAGCTCTGTATGTATGACATATATGTTGTGTATGCAATTACACATACATGAACAGTACTGATTGAAATGGATGGTACAAATACTAGTTAGGGGATAAAAGAATCATCAATAAGATCTTAAGACTTAACAAAACAAAGGCATGATTTGCACAGGGATACCCCAATCAATTAGGCCATCTTTGTGAAGACTACAAAGACAGACAAAAAATCTAACAGTAGCTTTGTTTCATGTTGAGTAGTGTTGTCAGATGAACATGTGTCTTGTTGACTGGACAATCTACCACCACAGAGTCTGCTCCTTAACCTTAGGGGTGTTTCCATGGAATTCTGGTCTAGGACAGCTATTACAGTATTACATTTATGACATCCTGTTGATGTCACCAGATCAGGAAGCTAGAACACTTTTCTGGGGTTCCCAACCTGCAGTCATTTTAACACTGTGGGTCGAGGCTAAATTAATTCCAAGGAAAGAACTGGACCAGGAGTCAGAAGGTTTGGCCTCTACCACTTGATACCCCTGGATAATCTTTCAAATCCCATTTCCTCATTTACAAAACAAGATTATAGTCTAGTGTGTGATCCTGATATTAACACATGTAAAAGTGCTTTGAGACTGTAAAGTGCGATAAAAACATAAGGGATTACCATATAGGTTCTACCTGGATGTCTCAAGTGGCCTTTTCTGGAATCTGATTGAAGCTTTGTGAGATGCTGGGTAAAGGATTCCTTTGTAAAATTCCTTACATTTGTGTGAAAAGTTCTGGTTCCTGAATAATCCCAAAGATGCTATGAGGACTTCACTAGGCCTTTGTTTTAATCCCAATGGGTCAGAATATCTGCTTTCTCATTCAGTAGGATACTACAGATTTGACGTGGAAAAAGAATAGCGTCCAGTGACCTGCATGGGATCCTCAAAACTTCATAAACATTTGAGATTGTGGGTTGTGGTCCAATGTTGTTCTCAAGATGTTACCATTCTCCAGACAATGTTGAGAACTAAGAATCCCCTGGGTCCAAATTTATTATGTGTCTCTGAAGGCTTTAACTGAAGAAACAAAATACACACTCATGGAACAAACTGAGCCTCTGTTGTGATGAAACAGTTCCAGCTATTTGGCTTGAGGAGTTTGACTTCACATAAAGGATGGTGCTCAATCTGGGTAGAGGAGGACAGGAATGGAGGTGAAGACCACATCATGATGGTTGAATGTCCCTTGGGTCACAGTGGTCCACTGGAATGGTATCTTCTTCAGTAGTAAGGTGACAGAAATCACCATGGACAGAAATCCAGGTACCAAATCTGTAGGCTGAGTGAACACAAGGAAGATGGTCAGAAAGTCCAGGGACAAAACAGGTAAGATAACAAACGCATGGAATTACAAACACAGGACTCTAACACTGGAGTGGCTCTGCAGTCAGCACATCAGCTGCCGGATGTGTACTAATTCTTGATAAGCCTGACTGAGAAGCTCACAGATAAATGAAAAAAATGAGCTTTATAATCAACAATCAGTGATGATCAGAACAAAGAGTTCTCTGGCAAAGATGGTTTCCAGACTCTTGAAAATAACCATCTTAGAAACTGCCCTCAGTCTTATACTTTAGGGGAGTAATTTGATTGTATTCAGGCTGCTGGGCAGTGGTTGGTGGGGAATAAAGAAGGGCTCCACAGGAACCACAAGAAGAATTGAATTTAAGTTTACATACTAACACCAAGGCAAAGGAGATATTGCCCTTCTCCCTTTCCAATGCCTTTCCTAAATTGTCTTATTCATTTTGACAAAATCTCGAATGGGAAAGAATAATGTACCTAGGTAATAAGGCCCTACTGCATGCATCCTTCTGTAATGCCCTATGCAATATATTAATTCCTCTCCGTTTGAAGTCTCCTAAAATCTTTTTAAATTCAGAATTTAAAAACATGAAACCAAGGAAGAAACATGGCCCATAACTAGTGATCTTTTTCCTAATCTAGAGTAACCAGGTTGTCACACGATGATTAAGCAAACACTTACTGAATGCTCATTCTGGGATAGCCTGCTCTCTGAATTCCTCTTTTCTATTAAAAGCTTCATCACATGTGGTAGTATGTGTGGGCAAAGATTCGAAGACCCTTTTTTTCCAAGGGGCTTGCTATCTGCAAGAAAGCAAATAAAAAAAGCATGCAAATAACTACTTTACAGGGCATCAGATACAAGGATAAAAGATACTGAGAAAATGGCCGAGTTTTGGCAGGTGAAGAACCAGAGGAAGACATTTCAGGGTAGAGAAGAGTATGAACAAAAGTGCAGAGATGGTCAAGAACGAGTCATTTGGGAAAATGGCAAGTACCGTAGTTCACTTTGGATGCAGTGTCATCAGAGTTTGCACTGAGGTCTGGCAGAAACTCAGGTCTTCAAATTCCCAGTAACAGCGCTAGTGGCATTGCTTGGTTAGTTGTCGTCTCTCTTCTGAAAGCGAGGTCAATAGTCCCCAAAGTAAACATATCCAGCTCCAGAGTTCCTGTCACATCCTCATAAACGCATCGAGGTCCCAGGTCTTGCAAATCTGGAGTCCATGCCGTGGCTACTAATGGGCATCGGCTCCAGCTAGTGCGAAACACTGTAGTGAAACCCTTTCAACCCTCTATCCTGGACATCTCGTGTTTTGTCACAGAATTTCAAGCTTTTGAGTTCCAGATGTTTGTGTCCCTCTTTTCTGCTGAGAAAAGCATCTTCTCACCACAATCAAGATTCGTTTGCAGTACATCCAGGTTTTATTACAAAAGACCAACACATTTCCCCCCAAATAAGTTATTTCTCTGGAAGTGAGATCATCTGTCTCTGCCCTTTAGGTAAAGGGAACAGTCAACTGATATTTTTTTTCAGACAGTTGTATGCAATAGCAGAACCGGGTAACACCTAACCAGACAAAATACACTTAATCGTGTGTGTTCGTTTGCTTAGAGTTGCACCACTCCACAAAACAAAAATGTTTGAAATCCAACTGTTCAAACATTTCTATAGTGTTTGCTGGGTAAAAGCAGCTGACAATTAACAAAGAAGCAAAAAACTGGCATTTTTGGCCACCTTAGCAACACACTTGCAAGCAAATAGAATACAAAGCAGTCCAGGAAAAAGTTAAGCTTGGGAAAACTTCCAAATCTACTGATTCTGAGGTTCAGCACAGGTTCAAACGCAATTTTTCAGAAAATGTTAACCTTCAATTAATAAAGATAACCCCCCAACATCTTCAGGAATTCCATGCCTGGATCAGTCTGTTCGTTAGCCAGCTTCCGAAAAATCCACCTGCACCATTAATTAGCTAGACTTGGCAGCACCATTTAAAAATAAGCCTGCTCACTACCAACCACATAGACTAGGGGTATAAAATAGGAGCAAGTAACAGATGGCAAACATGGTCGTGAAAAATGGTCAATGAAAGAGTCAGAAAGGTAGTCAGGCACCAGTATCAGCAGCAACACAGTTAATGGGCCAAAGATTAAATAGGCTTCTTGATTCCAGAGAACATATCCACTCCTAGTTTCAGCTGCTTTATACTGGATGCCACTGTACCATATGCATTAGCCACCCTTCGGGCACCCCCCCATGGGGAAAGGAAAGGACTCAGGAAAAAAGCCAAGCAGTGGAGTGTTGTTACCCCAATAATCCATTATGCACAGAAAAGCTCACATATCCCAGGGATTCAAACAGGGGCTTCAAATTGGTTGTGAAGGATCTCAAATGGCATCTAGGCCTCAGTTTCCCCCCTGTGGCATAGAGAGATTGTGGTTAACTCTTTGGGGGTGACATCTCCCTTGAAACCTTGTTGGCGATGGATCCTCATCCCCCTAAAATGCACATTCCCACTAATTTCTGCATACAATTTCGGGGAGTTTGGGGATTTCCAACTCCAATCCAAGGTTCCTAGGTTCAAAAAATCGATGGATTGGGCAATGGCTGTTTTCTTACAAATCAGAAAATTTTACAAATAATAATGATCCCTTATGTACACTGACGCTTTACAAAGCGCTTTTAATCCCACAAACATCGACAGAGGAGGAAACTGAGGCGCAGATTACAGAGGGACTTGCCTAAGGTCACTCGGCCAGCTGGTGGCTAGGCCCGGAAGCAAACCCAGCTCTTCCGACTCCGGAGCCCGTTTCCCGGCCCGGAGCTGCCGCCAGGGCTCCCGCCTCTCACTAAGGCGGCATAAGGAGGAAAAGGCAAAGTAGAAAGCCCACCACCAACCATCCCCCAGCCCCTTCCTGTCCCTCCAACTGGGTCCTTGCAGGCCCCGAAGGGTGGCGCCAGGCCTCCAGGCCGGCCCCGGCCGCCCCCGCTTCCCCGGCCGCGCCAAGTCCCGCCGCCGCCTCCCCGGGAGCGGGGCGGAGCAGCTGCCCGCCACCGCCAACCACCCGGACGACTCCTCGTCGGATCGCAAACGCATAGGCCGCCGCCCGAGTCCTGCGGACGAGAAGAAAGACTCGGCGCGAGCGCCAACGGCCACCGGGCGCGCGCCGCGGCGGCCGGGCCTGCGCCCCAAGAGCTGGATGCCAGAGCAGGAGAAAGAGCCGCCAACCGATCGCTCGATCGACCGCGCGCCCGCTCCGTCGCCCTACCAGACCGGGGAGGGGGGGAGGGCGCGCCAGGGCTTCTTCGAGTTAGGGGCCTGACTCCCCGGCGACGAGACAAGATGGCTCCTCCGGTCCGCACCGCAGCTACCGTCCCGGCTGCGTCGCTCGGCCCGCCCCCGGTACTGTTTCTTTAAATGGCGGAGAGGGTCACGAAAGCAGGAAGAGAGGCGCGCTCTGTCACGTGACAGGGGCGGGCCCAGCGAAGAAGATCCGGTCACGTGGACTCATTTTGCCTACCAATCAGGACGCGTCGTTTCAGGGCGGGGGCGGGAGGAGCTGCGGCTCTGTGATTGGCTGAACGCGCCGCGGAGGCCTCGGGGGTTCGGGGCGTCGGGGAGTGCGCGAGGGAGCCCGATTCGTGTGCATAGGCGGAGACAAAGCGGTGGCTGTGGTGGCCGCAGAGGCGGCTGTGAGGCAAACCCTGAGGGCCGAATTTCGTGGTGCTGAGTCCGGTCATCATCTCATTCTGCGCGGCGCACGGAAGGCTCGTGTCTGGGCGGCGGCGGCGGCGGCGGCGGCGGCAGCGGCGGACGCGGCGGCAGCACATGGTTCCAAGAACAAGCTGCGGTTGTTGGGTTCCAATTCCGTGGGGAGGGACAAAGGCAGCCGCGAGCGCCGGGCAACGCCCCGTCGGGTGGTGCGCTTGCCATTGCCCTTCATCCGGGCTCTGAAAGCTGGGCCCAACTCCTCCTCTGGAGCCGAGGCCCGGGAAGGGCCTGAGGGGCCGAGGCCGCAGTCTGAGGAGAGTGGGGGGAGGGGCGTGCCCGTCTGAGGTGACTTGGGCGGCTTCGCTGTGAGGCGCTTTAGTGGGTCATTGTGAGGTAATCGAACTCTCTACCCTTAGGAGAGCGGGGTGGGGCTCTGAACGCGGGAGTCCGCTGTCAGCGGTTAAGAGAGATTTCAGTTGGGAGTTCGTGAAGCCCTTACTTACCAAACTATCGCCATCTAAACCCGAATCATGCCCACCAGGCTGGGGCCCATGTAAGGATCCTGGGATCATTGGTGGCGAAGACATGGGTTATTGTCGGGTTTTATAACAGAAGTTGTACATTTCCGGATTGGGAAGTTCCCTGGAAGAACGAGAACAAGAAGAAAACGAAGAAGGAGCAATAATAAAACCGCCCACTCCAGTACCATCTACTTCAAGATTATCCACATTTCGACTCATTGAACTATCTCACAACTTAACCGGAAAAGCTCCTAAGACTACAGGTGTAGGACAATTCTATTCAAAATATTATGCCATAGTCTGAGAAGATAAAAAAAAAATACTTAAAGGAGGAATCAATTGTAGTTTTAGACATCTCTGGCTATATTTTGGTTAGGTTCGCAGTAAACTTGTTTAAGGAGCACAGACTTACCAAACGTTCCTGGAAGAAATCCTGGAAAACCTATTTCATTGTAAGGCTGTGTTTCCCAGTTTGTAGGTAAAGGCCCGAACCTTACTGCAATCATGGCTTTCACAAATTACAGCAGTCTGAATCGAGCTCAGCTAACCTTTGAATATCTGCACACAAATTCGTAAGTATCCTGTAGGTTCCACTATCGTCACCGATAACTCATTTCTTGATATTAGTATGGAAACCCTCCCAGGAAATTTCGCTTTTTCACTTTTGGGGATGAGCCTTGAGCTCTGGAAGAACAGAGATCAGTGAAACATTTCTTGCTAATCCAGAAGAATATGACCATTTATTGGATCAAAACTTACTTGTTCAAATGCAAACTAGTTATTTGAGGTCACTATATCGAGTTGTTTCTGAAGTGTTTGATAGGAATCCAAGTACTGTTCTTTGAATCACCAAAAGTTGGACTATTCTAGCATATTCGCTTTAGTGACAACAGCAAAAACTGTTGGGCTATAACAAGTTTTTTTTCTTTCTAACAAGGGGGGAAAAAAAGAAGACATTCAAGTGACAGCTTGTGAGAAGAAAGTATTAATTTTTTTCCTCCAGCAAACAGTTGGCTTTATATTCCTTGGGAAATTCGTCCCCACATCCGATACTGTTTTCATATGCTAAGCAGGAAATAGCAACTTGTTTAAACCCATGATTTAAATAGCCACTCTCCAAAATGTGTGCAAATCTCAGAACACATGGTGTTCGATGTTCTTGGGTTCATGAAGAGATTACCATCCAAATTGGTCTGGAATGTTTCAGGGTTAATCCTTATGTTCACTCTCTTGGAAGTGATTCGTTAGGCTCATAACTACTTTGTGTTTTAATATGGTAATTTGTCACTTTTGAGATAAAGGTAAGTATTCTAACATTTTAGTATGTGGAGAGGTGATGAGCAGCTAAATGATGGCCCAGAGATCTGAAGAATCACCTTCAAGGCTGAGAATATAGACTTCAGTTATCCATTAATAGTATAATTTTATCCTTTTATGGGAAAGGACTTAGAAACAAAACCAAAACCCTAAATTCCAGAGTCGTCTTTGTGATCATGTCTGTAATTTTTTTGATTGCTATTTTTCCTATCAAAATTTTTCTAAGTAGAGTGAATTGTCAAACTATGAGAAGTTGGTTTTGTTTTATTTAAGAAGCTTATTGAACTAGAGTGTTTTAGAATAGGTACTGTAAAGGTTACCTACGTGAATTCTTATGGTTGGTGAACTTGAAATCCAGTTAGGTAAGGTTGCTGACTAGTTTATAACATAGCCTTGCTATCCTTTATGTTTGAACTGTCACATTCGGAACCAGCAGTTGAAGTACACTAGATGTTCACAGATGATCAGGCTTTGCAATGAGGGGCCAAATTTGGAATAGCAGACTGTTTGATAATCTTGGAAGAACATGAATGGGACTTCTAAACTGGGTTCTTGTTCCAGCTTCCCCAGACTTTATTTGATTATAAAATAATAGTAATAATAATTAATTGCTTCATGCCACTACTATTTTAAACATGGCTGAAAGTAATCTTTATAGCAACACTGCTGGGATTATTCCTATTTTGCATCTGAGGAAACAGGTTAAGTTTCATGCCAAAGGTTACACAGCTGCTAAGTGGCAGATTTTAGGCACTAAGATTTATCTGGCAACAGTGGTTAGTGCTTTTAACCAATTGGCAATACTGGCTCTAGTCAGTTTTACCATTTTTATAAAAAAATATATTTTTATTGATTTCAGAGAGGAAAGGAGAGGGAGAGAGAGAGAAACATCAAAGTGAGAGAATCATTGGTTGGCTGCCTCCTGCATGCCTCCCACTGGGGACTGAGTCCACAACCCAGGCATGTGCCCTTGACCGGAATCAAACCCGGACCCTTCCCTCTGCAGGCCAACGCTCTATCCACTGAGCTAAACCGGCTAGGGCCAATTTTACCTTTAAGGTCTTCTTTCCTTGTCTATATAGGAAAGGGTTTACTTCTCACTTTAAAAGTCTTCAATTTTATCTCAGCCTCTAATTTGGAGGATCTGGGATATTTGTCTCTGCTTATTTCTTTTGCTATATTATCCTAATATATAAAAAGCCAGAGGCCATCATGACCGAAACAACTGGACAGATGACTGAACAGCAGGCTGCGTAGGGCAACCAGGCCGGCAGGGGGGGGTAGTAAGGGATGACCAAATGACTGAACAGCAGGCTGCATGGAGTGACCAGGCCGGCAGGGGAGGGCAGTTGGGGGCGACCAGGCTGGCATGGGGGCAGTAAGGGGTGACCAGGCCAGCAGGCAGAGGCTGTTAGGGGTGAATAGGCTGGCAGGGGGGTAGTTAGGAGCGATCAGGCAGGCAGGCAGGTGAGCAGTTAGGAGCCAGCGGTCTGGAATTGTGAGAGGGATGTCCAACTGCCAGTTTAGGCCCTATCCCCAGGCAGTTGGACATCCCTTGAGGGGTCCCAGATTGGAGAGGGTGCAGACTGGGCTGAGGGGACCCCTCCCGTGCATGAATTTCATGTGGTGGGCCTCTAATAACTTAATAACAATAGGTGGACAGAGCCAAAGCAAAGAATTGAACCTCAGTTAAATCACCAAAGCGATATTGGAGAATTTTCTGTGAATTTGATTTACCAGCGTTGAACTGGAACCACCTGCTTGCATGGACATTTGAGGTTGGATGTATCATTTTGGAAGCTCTGGGATATCTGGATTACATTGAATTTGTCTACTTTTGAATATGTCCACTTGTGCCAGAAGAAAATATGAACCTAGAATAACAAGATAAGTTTCTGGTTTGTAACTAATTTAAAGAGATTTCTTTAATGTGGTGACCTGACTGGAAGTTCACTTCTAGAGGAAACAAAATTTTAAAGTAAAAAATTTTTATTGTTTTACAGAGAGAGAAACAGAGACACAGATATCGATTTGTTCCACTTATTTTATACATTCATTGGTCACTGCTTGTATATGGTCTGACCAGGGATAGAACCCACAACGTTGGCATATTGGGACAACGCTTCTAACTAACTGAAATACCCGGCCAGAGCCTTAAATTTTCTTAAGCTGTGACTTGATATTTTTTTAAAAATATGTATTTATTGATTTCTGAGTGGAAGGGAAAGAGAGAGAGAAACATCAGTGATGAGAGAGAATCATTGATTGGCTGTCTCCTGCACACCCCACACTGGGAATTGAGCCCTCAACCCGGGCATGTGTCCTGACTGGGCATGTGTCCTAACCGTGACCTCCTGGTTCATAGGCCGATACTCAACCACTGAGTCAAACTGGCCAGCCTTGATACTCTTAATGGTAGATGTATCTCCTCTGTGTTAAGTGGTGCAGTGTCACCTTCAGATAAGGCGAAATTTGTTCTACCATATCGTTGTCTTTGTTTTGTTATAATGTTAAAAAGATCTTTTTAGGTTGCCTGACATCTACATCTACAATACAGTGGGGCCTTGACTTACGAGTTTAAGTAGTTCCGAGACTGAGCTCGTTAAGGAGCTTGTTAACTCAAATTACTCTATCAACTCAATGCAAAAAATCGGCAGAGAGACAGCTGGTACCTCAAAAAACTCGTTAGTCGGGACACTCGTAAGTCAAGGCCCCACTGTATAGCCATATTGTGAATTATGAAATGGCCCTTTCCTTACCTCCTATTTAATGTAGATTTGCAAGCAGAACCCCAACTAGAAGGATGGAAAATCATTGTGATGCAGTGGAAAGATCATGGGCTTGAGAGCCTGCCAAGCTTGG